CTGGATGTAGGAAACGAGCCAATTGTGCCCTGGAGATGGCGGGGGTGGCCATTGTGCCCCCGCCGTGTCCAGGGCACAATTGGCTCGCCCCGACCTTCAGCCTAAGAATCTATGTTGGCGCGGGGGGCGGGGGGCCCTCCGCTCAGACCGCTGGGCGCCGACATTTTTTCCTCGGAGGGCCCCCCCGCCCCCCTCGTTTTCTTTCCCCCCCCCTCCCAAGAAGGCGACCGCGGTGGACAAGAAGAATAACAAGACGGAGGAGAAGGAGGCGGAGAAGAAGGAGGCGGAGGCGGAGGAGGCGGAGAACGCGCTGGCTGATTTTGAGGAGTCCCTGAGGCGCCTCCCCTTCCTTCCCTCCTCCTCCTCCTCCTCCTCCGCCTCCTCCTCTTCCTCCTCCTCTTCCTCTTCCTCCTCCTCCCCCCCCTTCTCCTCCTCTCTTTCCTCCTCTCTCCTCCTCCTCCCCCTCCTCCTCCTCCTCCTCCTCCTCCCCCCCCTCCTCCCCCCCCTCCTCCCCGCCGCTCTGGCGCGGCCCGGAGGTTCTGAGCGGCGACGCCGCGCCCGACGCTGGCCGGCGCCCGACGCCGCGCCCGACGCCGCCGCTTCTCCAGCCATCCCAAGATTTGTTTTTTTGTTCCCGCCGCGGCCCCGGCGGGGCCCTTATGTTTTTAAGATATTCGCTTGGCCCTTTGTTTTTTGATATTATTCACTTGGGGGGCTGTCGTTTTCACCGTCGCCGAGGGGCCGAAAAAGTCGACGAAGAAACGGGGGCTTGAAACAGGAAAAACAAATCTTGGGATGTCTTCGTCTCGTTGCCTCCCCTCGCGGGCGGGCCGGCCGGCCGGCCGGCGTCGGACTGCGACTGGTGGTCCAGGGGCCCAGCCGACTACGACTGCGACTACGACTACGACTACTACTACTACTTCTACTACTACTACTACTACTACTACCACTACTACTACTACTACTACTACTACTACTACTACTACTACTACTACGGTTACTACTACTACGGTTACTACTATTACTACTACTACTACTACTACTACTACTACTACTACTACTACTACTACTACTAGGATGAAGATGAGGATGATAATGAGAATGGTGATGATGTCGAGGTTGATGATGATGAGGATGCTGATGTTGATGATGATGATGACGGTTAATAACAATGACGATGATGATGATGGTGATGATGATGATGTCGATGACGCGGGTTATGCTGATGATGGTGATGATGACGATGTTGATGATGCTGATGATGATGATGATGCTGTTGGTGATTAGGGTTGTTCTTTCTTATGATGTTGCTGTTCATGCGAATAACGATGATAGTAGTAGTCGTCTGTAATAATAACCCTGAATGCGGGGCGGCGGCGGGCTCAATCTTTCAATTCCGACAAAGCGCGGGGCAGCCTGGGCCCGGGCCTCGGCGTCGGCGCGGGCGCGGGCGCGGGCGCGGGGGCGGGCGCGGGCGCGGCGGCGAGCGCGGGCGCGGCGTCCGGGCCACGCGAGGCGCGTGGCGCGCGGGCGCAGGGCGCGCGGGCGTGGGCGGGGCGCGGCGCGTTGATCCTCGCTCGGGCGAGGGCGTGGGGCGGCGGGCGCGGTCGTCGGCGTCGGTCCGCGAAGCGCGCGCCGGGCGTGGGCGTGGCGCGGGCGCAGGCGCGTCCGGGCGTCGGGCGCGGGCGGGGTGGGGCGGCGGGCCGCGGGCGCGCGCGGGCGCGGCGTGGGCGGGGCGAGCGCGGGGCGCGGGGCGGCGCGTTGCGGGGCGCGGGGCGCGGGGCGCTGGCCCGGGCGCGCGGCGCGGCGCGGGGGGCGCGGAGGCGGCCCCTTAAGCCCCCGCGGGGTGGGGCGGGCGCGGGCTTGTGGGCGTGAAGGCCTGGGCCCTGCTGGGCCTGGGCGCGGGTTTGGGCGGGGGAGCGCGCGGGGCGCGCGCGCTGGGCGCAGTCGGGGGGCGCGGGCGCGTTGGGCGCGCGCGCGGGCGCGGGCGCGGCCGTGGGCGCGGTTGTGGGCGTGGGCTCAGGCGCGGAATGGGCGCGGGCGTGCGTGCGAGCGTTGGCGCGCGTGTGGGCGTGGGCTTCGGCCTGGGCCTGGGGGTGGGCGCGGGCGCGCGCGGGCGCGCGCGTGGGCGCGGGCGCGGGCGCAGTCGGGGGCGCGGGCGCGGGGCGTTGGGCGTGGGCGCGGGCGCGGGCACGAGCGGTGGGCCTGGGCCTGGGCGGGGGGCATGGGGGTGGGCGGGCGGGCCGCATGGGCGGCGTTGCGTGGCGCCGGGCGTGGGCGCCGGGCGCGGGCGCGGCGCGGCGCGGGGTCGGGGGCGGGGGTGGGGTCGGCGTGCGTGTGAGTTTTGGCTTGGGCGTGGGCGTGGGCGCGCGGGCGTGGGCGCGGGCGGCGGGCGTGGGCGGTGGGCGCGGGCCGTGGCGTGGCTGTGGGTCTGAGCGCGTGTGGGCGTGGGGCGTGAGCGCGGGCCGGGGCCTGGGCCCAGGCGCAGGGGCGGGCGCGGGCGCGGGGCGCGGGCGGGGGCGCGCGGGCGCGGGCGTGAGCGCGGACGCGGGCGCGGGCGCCGGAGTTGGCGCGGGCACAGGCGCGGGCGCGGGCGCGGGCATGAGCGCGGGCGCAAGCGCGGGCGCGGGCGTCGGCGTTGCCAGCCGCCGCCGCCGAAGGCGCCGGCGCGCCGGGGCCGGCGCCGGGGTTGGCGCTGGGTGACGGGGTGGGAATCTGCGCGACGGCGGGCCCCTCCCCCCGCTCAAACGCGCCGCCGAGCGCTCCCGAGGCAAGCGCTTGCGACGCGCGCCCCCTCCTTCGGCGCGAGCACTGATGGGGGAATACAGCCGGCAACCAGCGCTTCCAACATACTTCCGCGGTGGTCGAGTTGGGTGGGCGGCCCGGCCTTGGCGAACGCCAGTCTCTGGAAATGCGAGCAGAGAACCGTTGCGAACAGTTGGCGCCAGGAGGAAAACATGCTAAACTATTGCGGGTGGGGCGAGGACTTGTGGATGCGCAGGCGCGGTGCACAGAGGGGCGCTAAGCTCCCGGTAGTCGCGGGCGCCCCGCGCGCAGGGCCCCCCGCACCGCCGCCCGTAGAAGGGGGGCCGCCACTACGATCTTTTCTTTTTACCGCTGACCCACCGCAGCTTGGTCGCATCGAGAATGCGCGAGGTAGATTGGGGCCGCGCTGCCCGCGCGGCGAGTTGCATGGGCGAGGCTAAAGGGTTCACCGAAGAGGGCGGCCTCACGTTTGCCGGGGAGCTCGAGCGAGCCGCCGAAACCACCAAAAAGGCGAAGGGGGATCACGTTGCGTTGCAGGCCTTCCGCTGCGCGCAACCCCCCCCCGCCCCCCCCCGCCCCATCGGCAGTCCGCAAGCGAACGCACGCGGCATAGGCATGGAGACGTCGCGGCCCTAGGGGGGCCGAGAAGGTTCCGAGGCTAGGCAGTTGCTGCCCGGTTCTTTTAGGATTATGGCCGAGGCTTTGTTGGAAGCACACAGTACTGCGCGCTTCGAATGGCCATCTCAATGCCAGTGCTGGCGACAAGGTGACAGATTTCTTCGCCAAGCGATGCTTTGCGAAAACTAGGGCGCACGGGCGCGCGCGTGGCCTTGAGGCCAGCCGCGGCACGCTCAGGAAAATAGAACAAACAAGAAGAGAGAGACGATCGCTTCGAACTGACCAGCGGCAGCATCCATAATCTCGAAAGACGACCGCCGCGAACTGGCAAGCGGTAGCATCCATAATCTCGAAGGGTTGTGATGGCAGTCGCGGGCACGGGATGGCTCGGGAAAGTGCAAGTAGGATTGCTGATGGGGTGCGCGAGTGATATTGTGCGCGCAGCTCACGGCGCGCACCCTCGCGTTGCTCGTGCCACGTTGAGTTCCCGGGCTGGACCTAAACGTTGTTTGTTGTTCGTTGTGTTGTCGTTATGTTGTTCGTTTTGCTCGACCTGTTTTCCTGTACCCGTGTGTCAAAACCAACAACAAAACAAAACACTGCCGAAGTCCAGCAAAAAAACGTTTAGGTCCAGCCCTGTTGAATTCGGCCGCGCGTGTTGGTATTGCATGTGAATGTACAATCGTCTCGGCCTCAGCTGCGCTGGGCCCCTCGCCATGCCCACGCGCCGCGCCCCGTTCGGGCCCGCCGCCAAACCCCCGCGCCGCGCTCCCGTCAGGCGCTCTAAGTGATACCACGGAGCTTGCTTCCTTCGGGAGGGCCCACCCGCCCCATGGGGCGACGTGGAAGTCAAGACGATCATGAACGAGGGCCGCTTTCCCATGACGACTGTCGAGAAGGTTTTGCTTCGCACGCGGGACCTAATCAAGGCGGCGGAAGAAGTGCTGAGAAACCCCCTGCACCATCACATGTACGACCTGGGGCGTATCTTGGAGGGCGACCCGTCGCGTTCGGATCTCCTAGGCCCCGCGAGGTTCGGGGCGCAGTTGATGCTGGGCGACAGGAGCACGACCATGGGGTACTTCCACTTGGTTCTCGACATTCCGCTGAATGCGACGTCCTCTGGGGTACCAGATGCCTGCAAGAATATGGCGCGCAGGTGCAAGCCTGAGAGTGTGAAGCGGATATGCGAAGGTCGGGAACGATCGGAAAGAAGGATCTCTTCTTCGAGCTTTTCCACAAACCGATTCTGGTGGAACGACGATGTACAGTGGGCGACCATTGGACAGGAGAGAACCAGGTGTGGGGGTATGCCGTATGCCCCAGGCACCCCTGCCGACCTGCCACCGCCAGGAACAGGCCAGCCGATTCCGGGGTCCTTTTCCCTACCCCCCGTCGTCTCCCCCCCACACCGCCGAGAGAAGGCAATGCGCGTCCAGAGTCCTTTTCCTTCCCCCCTCTTTCCCCTCCCCCCCACCGCCGAAAGGAGTCAGCCAGAGTCCAAAGTTCAGGCCCCCCCCCGTCCTCAACCTCCCACCCACCGCCGAAAGAAGGGAGGCCGAGTTCAGAGTCATTCTCCCTCTCCCACCTCGTCTGCCCCCCCTCCCCCGAAGCGAGGCGCGGGGGAGCGGCGGCGCGGCGGCGCGCCCGCGGCGGCGCGGGCAGCGACCAGCTGCTCCACGACAGCCTCAACCGCGAGATGGAGAAGCTGAAACGGAAGGAGCGCGGCGGAGGAGGAGGAGGAGGAGGAGGAGGAGGAGGAGGAGGAGGAGGGAGAGCGCGAGGGAGTGGTCAACATAGCCAGGTCGAGCGAGTCGGATGGCCCCAGCGACCGGGAGGGCGGGCGCAGAACGCGGCGGCATCCCCTCGCGCGGGAGAGCCACGCGCTGCAGCCAGAGCTTGCGGGCGCGCACCGCGGGGGGGGAGTCAGGCGATCGCAAACATGGATCTAGGGGGCAGCGGCGGGTCCCGTTTCCACAGGGAAGTCGCGGACTTACGCCGCCGAGCGAGGCGGCACGGGCCGCCTGTTGGGGAGGGCACTTCCCCCGATCCATGGATTCGTCGACCGCGCGCCGGCCTCGAGCAAGCGCCCCAGTGGGGGCCGCCCCGCGAGGTGCCCTCGCTCTCCGCCTTCGCGAGCCCGGCAGCCTCGAGCAGGCACCAGGGCAGGACGAAGCCGGGACGAGGATTCGGTGGCAACCCGTGGGGAGCCTCTCGTACCATTATGTCTGCTCTTGCGAATCGACGCCAAGTCGACGCTAATCGACGCTAGATCGACGCTGAAACGGAGGCCGCGTGCGAAACATATCCATATCCGCGGCCTCGGCCTCGCAGGCCGGCCCCCTTGGCCGCGGCCCGAGAGATGCGGGGCGCTTTTGTCACGGATGCATCGCGCGGAACGTGTCCGGCGATGCTCGGCCACGCGCAGAAGGGGGGTGGAAAGGGAAGGTTTCTGAGGAGCACCCTTGCTTCTTAGAAGGCGCGGGCCTTGTCTGTAGACGTTAGGCTGGTGCCTTCTAAGAAGCAGCCTCTCTCTAAGAAGCTTTCCCCCCTCCTCCTTCCCCCTTTTGCTCGCCGCCATGGTGCGACCACGTATCCGCGGGATCGCGTCCCGGAATCCAGACCGCGGGGGCGCGGATTCGGATATGTTCGCCGTTCGTAAGGAGGGGGAGACGCAGACGCAGACTCACGACGTAAGGTCTTCGACAACATTATGTCTCTGGGGGCTGTTGCCCAGGCCACGGGGCCATCTAGAGACCCCTCTGGATGGAAAGCGGATCCCCTGGGGAGCGGTCGAGGCTTCTGGGGATCCACGCGGTGAAACACCGAAATAGCAAACAAATATTCCAACGGTAGCATCACACATGAGAATTGTCCAAAGTATTCTGGAAGTAATCTTTGTCGACGTCTTCTTGACTACGGAGGCTCTTGTCCTGTCTCGTGCTTGCTGGTCCTTGCCGAACAGGTTTGGTGCCCGAGACGTCTTCCAGGTTCAGGCTCCCAGATGTCACCAAATGTATGCTGATACAGGGTATCCCGGTCGCCCGCCCCGGAACAGTAAAGTGAAGCGTGCGCCCAACAGCGAGGGGGCTCCCGCTTGAGATTTCCTCGCAGCTCACTTACATGCGAGCGCCTGGGCTCGATTTGCTCAGGAACGAGGCTCCCGCTCCAGAAATCCTCGGGATTCAGTCTCCCAGGTGTCACCAAACTTTGTTTTCATCCAGTATCCCGATGGCCGCTTCGGATTAAGAACATGAGGTGGGGACCCCATATGGAGGGGCCCCCGCTCGAGACTTCCTCGCAATTCACGCACAGACGAGTGAGCGCCCGAGACATGCTTTCAATGTTCTCGGAAGCGAGGCTCCCCGCTCGAGACTTCCTTTGTATTCGGGCTCCCAGGTGTCACCAAACCTGTGTCTTACGAGATATCCCGACGGCCGCCTCGGATTACCATCAAGAATTGGGGACCCGATGGGGAGGGGCTCCCGCTCGAGACTCGTTGCGATTCACCCGCAGTCGAGTGAGCGAGCGTCCAAGACATGCTTTCAATTTCCTCAGGATCGGAGCTCACCGCTCGAGACGTTCTCGGGATTCAGGCTCCCAGGCGTTTCCAAACCTTTGTTTTTGTCCGGGTATCCCGCCGCCTCGGATCACATACATGAGGTGGGAACCCCACAGGGAGGGGGCTCCCGCTCGAGACGTTCTCGCAATTCACTTACAGGCGAGCGCCTGAGGCATGCTTTCAATGTCCTCACAGACGAGGCTCGCGCCCGAGACTTCCTCGGGATTCAGGCTCCCAGGTGTCACCAAACCTGTGTTTGACGAGGTATCCCGATGGCCGCCACGGGTTACCAACATGAGATGTGGACCCCACAGGGAGGGGGTGCCCGCTCGAGACTTCCTCGCGATTCCTTCACTGACGAGGCTCCCGCTCGAGATGTCCTCAAGATGAATGTGTGAGTGAGCGTGTGTGTGTGTGTGTGAATATGTACATGTGTGAATGTGATGCTGATGCTGATGTTGGTGCTGATGATGATGGGTGTATTCAGTACGGGAAGCAGGCACTGTAGTTGAGCATCGCCGTATGGCCACCGCCACTTGTGCTCAAGCTCTGAGTCAGGGCGCCCTCCCATTCTGGTGATGCAAGCCGCCCTTCGCCAGCTTGTCGGGCGGATCGCAGAGGGGGCTTCGACTGGCCTCGTCGTGTGGGCTGGGCGGCCGACTTGCCCCGCGTGTGAGTGCTCGCCAGTCCTGAAGTGTCCGCCACTGACTTGCACGACTGGCGACGTGGCCCACATCTCGCCGGTGACGCCGCTCACGGTTGCGGTCCTCTGCGCTGGCGTCGCCCTGCTGTCCTTCTTCACGGGCCGGCTGACGCGCTGGGGCGCTAAGGGCGGGCGGTACGCCGACGACCTGGACACCACTGCTCGGGCTCAGGTGGCGCAGTACAAGGCCAAGGCTCTGGCGCAATGATGCTGGCAGCTGCTGGCCGACACCCGCTCACCGCGTCGCACGACCTGCAGGTGGGCGACTTCTGTGTGGTGCGCTACAACGTCCCCGGTGTGCCCCTGTACCACGAGAGGCTGGTTCACTACCTGCCGTTGGGTGCTGGGCTGACCGTGTCCATCACCACGCCCGATGGTGACGAGTACGAGGAGGTGTGGGGCCTGCCCGACATCGTCGAATGGGAGCCGCTGCCAAACCGACAGCCAGGAGGCGTGTTGATGGGTCGGCCGGGAGCGCGCTACTATCGGTTCAGAGCTGGTGCGATGCCTACTGCTGCGAGCCTCACGGCGTCCGCTGTGGCTGCTGCTGGACGCCTGGGCCAGCCTGCGCCGGGCGGGCCCTTGGTGCCGGCCCTCGGCGGGCGCCTCGTCGGGCCGCCGGCGGGGGGGGCCGCGCCCGGCGCGCTCGGAGCCGGGGGCGCCGCTGCCCCGCTTGGCGGAGCACCGGGCGCGCCGGCGGCGGCCGCTGCAGCTGCGCCGGGCGGGATGGCCCCGGCGGCGGGGCTCGGCGGCCTGGTGGCGGCGCTCGGTGGCCCAGCGGCAGGAGCACCAGCTGGCGTGCTGGTTCCAGGCCCGCTGCCCGCCCCCGCCGCGGCCGGCGTCGCGGCGGCCGCGGCTCCAGGAGCCGACGGAGTGCTCGTCGCCGCGCCCGCCGACGCCCCAGGGGCGGACGCCGCCCCTGTGCCCGCGGACGCGGGCGCCGCCGCAGCCGCCGCGGGCCCGCCCGCTGCTGCGGGAGGCGCGCCCGCGGGTGCTGCGGGCGTTGGCGGCCACGTCCAGGACGCGAGGGTGCTCCCGGTGGTGTATGACGTCATGGGGAACCGCCGGCGGGAGTTCCGCGAGGCGGTACTGGCCTGCCGGGAAGACCAGTGGGCGGGTTGGCCCGTGCGCGGACCACGCACCGCGCTCTGGGTCCTGCGGTGCATCATCGAGCACGGCGGGACGCCGACCGGGATGCACTCTCGGTGGCGCAGTGAGGCCCGCCTCCAGGAGCACGAGCCAGGGTTGCAGGAGCATGAGCGCTCGTGCCGGGCGCTGGAGGAGCTCATCTGTTACGACCAGTGTAATGGGGCGAATCTGGCGGCCGTGGAGCTGCTGGTGCGGAACGTCCAGGTGCAGCAGGAGAGGTACCGGGACAGGAGCGCTGGCGGCTCAGGAGGCGGCGGTCCTGACAGCGTCGACACGCACCTGTACATGGGCAGCGAGCTGACCAGAGGAGGAGTGTGTGTGTGCCCTCTCCTCCAGGAGTGGGCCAGCTCCCAGCTGGCCAAGGAGCAGGCGCTGCTCAAGGAGCGACGCAAGGCCCGGGAGGAGAGGGAGCTTGCCAAGAAAGGGAACAACAAGAAGAACAAGAAGGAGGAGGAGGGGTGATGTTCCCCTCGGCCGCGCCGGTTCCAGGCGGCCGGCGCGGCCCCTTGACTGAGACGCCTGTGGACCGTGGTGCCTCTACCGGTCCGCCGAACAGAGAGGTTTTTGACATGCTGGGGCAGAGCGGCCGCCAGCGCGACATTTTTCCGCTGCCCCCGCTGTGCCGAGATCACGTCGGCGCGGCGGGCCGCCATGACCTGTCCCGGGTCACCAGGCGGCGTGGGGAGGCTGCCAAGCACATCCTCGATTGGGGCGACGACTGCATCGACGCCCTGAACGACTTGTACGGCCACCAGGATCGGCCGGCGGTCCCCGCCAACGCTGGTCAGCGACACGCAGTGGAGCATGTCGAGTCGCGAGTGCGCGCGCTGGGCAAGCCCCCACCAGAGGCAGGCTTCCGCGAGGGAGCCCTCCGTGAGCTCCTCGCGGGGACGGGGATCTACCAGACGGGTGATCTCTCCTCCCGACGGCCGTATGTCAAGGAGTCCATTTCCTGGCCCTCGCCCGACGTGCAGCCCGTCCCGCTGTGCGCTTGCCTGGGTGAGGCCGAGTCTGAGTGGCTGGGCCGCTGGCAAAGCACCTTGCTCAGGCCAGATCAACCTACATCCGCAGAACGTGCTGAGTTCTGCCCGCACGGACCTTTTTTTGATCCCAGTCTCTTCAGTAAGCCTCTGCTTTACGCCGATTTTGTCGCCAAGTTGCTGGCCCGCGGCATGGTGGAGCTGAGGGAGGACTGTGACGCGGCCACCGTGGGCTGCTTCTTCGTCGCGAAGAAGAACAACAAGTTGAGAGTGATATTTGATACGAGGTATGCAAATCTATTTTTCGGGCGACCAGCTCGGACCGCTTTGCCGACGGCTACGGCGCTCGCGGCTTTCGAGAACCCAGGGCACGACACCTACCTTGCCTCGGGCGACATCGATAATGCCTTTTACAGGCTGCGGCTGCCCGACGGCCTGTCGTCCTACTTCCGGCTGCCCGCCCTGGACGCCAGCCTGCTCGGGATCACGCACCTGGGCGGGGCGCGGCTCGCGCGAGGGGCGCGGGTGCAGCCCTGCGTCTGCGTGCTGCCGATGGGCTGGAGCCACGCGCTGGCCCTCTGTCAGGGGGTGCTGCGGCGGGCCCTGGACTCCGCGGGGTTCACAGAGGGCCAGTGCATCGAGGACGGGAAGGCCGGGGTCGTGGTCGACGAGGAGGGCGCCCTGGCGGTCGCCGGCTACGTCGACAACTACGCTGCCCTGGGTCGCTCACCGGCCATCGTCGACCGGGCCGCCCTCGCCGTCACGCGCGTGCTGACGGATAAGGGGCTGCTCACGCACGATGAGGAGCCGGCCGCCCGCGATGCCACCTTCGTAGGCTTAGAGCTGAAGAGAGGACGTGATCTTTCGATTAAGGCCAGGAGCATTTGGAGGCTTCGTTTTGGGATCGACGCCCTGCTCAGGAAGGGGTTCTGTTCGGGAGACGCTCTCAGAATCATCATCGGTCACTTTACCTGGGCTGGGTTGATTCGCCGTGAAGTCCTCTCTTTGCTCAACTCATGCTACCAGTTTGCAGAGTGGATCGGGCAGCGACAGGCCCGACTGTGGAGATCAGTGCGGCGCGAGCTCTGGCGATCTCGCTGTATCTTACCGTTGCTCAGCGTTGACCTCAGCGCCGAGTGGTGGCCAGAGGTAGCCGCGTCAGATGCTTCGTTGTTTGGCCTTGGAGTCACTGTCCGAAGAGCTCCCATCCAGCTGGTATCCTCTATTGGCCGATGCAGTGAAAGATGGCGTTTTCGAGTTGATGGGGCCCAGCGGGCTCGCGAACATGCCCTTCATCAGGCTCCTGTGGACTCCATCAATGACCCCGACAAGGCCCTTGAGAACCTGCTGGTCGACAACCCCGTGGTCTTCGACGAGGTCCCCATGGGGTTCCTGAAGTCAGACAACTGGAAAGTCGTTCATGCCTCGAAGGTCGCTGGGTCTACGGACATCCTAGAGCTCGAGGGGGAGGCGCTCCTAATGGCTATTCGTCACACGCTCAGAAACACTGGGGCTCTTGGGAAGAAGATCCTGTTCATAGTGGACAACCTACCACTGGCCCTAGCGGCCGCGAAGGGGCGGGCGAACTCTCGATACCTCCGACACGTGCTTCAGAAGATAGCTGCTCTTTCACTGACTACAGGGTGCAGGATAGTTGTACGGTGGGTCCCATCTGAACTCAATCCTGCTGACAATCCGTCTCGAGGCGATCACGGTTTTTTCACTACTCCATATCACGTGCACCTTGCCCGGCCGCATGGCTGGGCGCCGGCGGCCAGCGGCGGCGCAGGCCGCCGTCGAGCGGGCGAGGAACGCCCAGCAGGTGGCCGCCTCTCCACGGTGCAGACCTTCGGCCTCTCGGTCCTCGAGTCCGCGGCGATCCGCCCGAACACGCAGAGGCAGTACCAGGACCGCCTGGCGACGCTGGTCCTCTTCTGCCGGACGTACCGCCTGGACTGGGACAGCTGGGAGACGCTGGACAATGCGGTCACCGCGCTGCTGAACCATCAGTTCCTGGACGGCAAGTGCTCGGACCTGGGGACGCAGCTGATCGCGGCGCTGGCGCACGTCTACCCGAGGCTGGCTCGGCGCAGCGGGCTGTACCTTCCGCGCGCCTGCCGCGCTGCAGGGGCCTGGAAGCGTCGGGCACCCGGGCGCTCGAGGCTGCCGATGCCGAAGACTGGCGCGGCGGCGATCGCCGGGGTGATGCTGTACCTCGGCCAGCGCCGAATGGCCATCTACACCATGCTGACCTTCATCTGCTACCTGAGGCCGCTGGAGGGGATAGCACTGCTGGGCAGGCACCTGGTCGCCCCGGTGTCGGCGGCGGGCGCGAGCTACGCGAGCTGGGGGCTGCTTCTCCACGACTTCGAGCTCGGCCAGCCGTCCAAGACCGGCACCTCGGACGACGCGGTGCTCATCGACCAGGACAGCTGGATCCTGCCAGCGCTGGCCGGGCTCCAGGCCGCGACGCACGCCGACGCCTCGCTGTGGGACTTCGGCGCGACGGAGTTCAGGATGAGGTTCAAGGCGGCCGCGGACCTGCTGGGGCTGGGGCAGCTTGCCCCGCATCCCTACTCGCTCCGGCACGGCGGGGCGTCAGACGACCTTCTGGCCGGCCGCCGAAGCCTGGAGCAGGTACGGGCGCGAGGCCGGTGGGTGTCTACGTCAAGCCTGCGCCGATACACCAAGGCCACGCGCCTGCTGCGGGAGCTGCAGGAGGTCCACAGCGACGTCTTCGGCTTCGGGAACTTTGTGATGACTCACTTCACGGGACTCGTCGAGCACGGGCTGACTGGCCCGCTTTTCGACCAGGTCCCGGCGAGCGTGAGGAGCCTGTTGCTTGCGGGCCAGAGCGGCGGGGCCACGTCCGCCGCCGGCCGCGGGCGAAAGCGGCGGCCAGCGTGACTCACCTGGTCCACGGCGGGGACGTGGGCGCCCACCTCGGCAAGAGGTTCGCTGCGAGCCTGGGCCGGGCAGTGCGCTTGCGGTCGCTGCTGTTCCTCGAGCTCTTCGGGGGCTGTGGCCGCGTCGCGGCCAGCGCGCAGGCCATGGGCTATGCCGCGCTCAGCCTGGACATCAACGGCTCACCTCTGGAGAACCATCTCACCCCGACCTTCCTCAACAGGATCCTGGGCTGGATCGCAAGTGGGGCCATCGCCGGGATCTGGCTCGGTACGCCCTGCAGCACCTGGACACGAGCGCTTCGGGTCCCGCTGCGAACTGCTGAGTACCCTGACGGGCGGCCTGACCTTTCGCCTGATCTTTTTAGCAAGCTCGATATAGGAAATAAGTCATTCCACTTTTCCCTTCACGTGATCCGTGCATGCCTCAGGCACAATGTAGGCGTCGTGATTGAGAATCCCCAGACTAGCTTGATGTGGTCCTCGCCTCACTTTCAGAAGCTCCTCAGTCTACAAAGCAGCACTTCTGTAATATGTCACATGTGCCAATTCGGCGCGCCCTGGAGGAAAGCTACTCGAGTGCAAGCCTGGGCCATCGGAGAATTGTGGGAGCTGTCGAAAAAATGCGGCGGCCCCCGAGGCATTTGCAGCAGGACTCTCCGGCCCCGCCTCGAACTCAGTGGGCGGGCGCCAGGCGGGAAGCATTGGACAGCCATTGCCGCCGCCTACCCCGCTGCCTTTGCCAAAGCTGCCGCTGCCATACTCGTGCGCACGTGTGAAAGCAAGCGCTCCCTCGCACTCTCTGACAGAATGGGAGGGTAGCCCTGATTGTTTTTTCGGCCCCAGGCCAAGTTCGCGTTCGGGTTGCGGATGCGAGGCTCGTTCATCTGTCCAGTGGCTCGCCTTGTTGTCGCGAGTTCGCCGCCGTGCGCTGCTCCTCACAAATACATCATCTCTCTTGGCGACGAGGGTCGGAAGAGGCCCTGCTGGGTGTATTCAGTACGGGAAGCAGGCACTGTAGTTGAGCATCGCCGTATGGCCACCGCCACTTGTGCTCAAGCTCTCCCTCCCTCCCTTTTCTTCCCCCACGAGCTTGAGTGTGGCTTTAATGGTCTGATGCGAGGCTCGTTCATCTGTCCAGTGGCTCGCCTTGTTGTCGCGAGTTCGCCGCCGTGCGCTGCTCCTCACAAATACATCATCTCTCTTGGCGACGAGGGTCGGAAGAGGCCCTGCTGATGATGATGACGACGACGACGACGACGACGACGATGATGATGATGATGATGATGATGATGATGATGATGGTCATGACAATCATGATGATGATGATGATGATGATCATGATGATCATGATGACGATGGTGATGGTGAGCGTGAGGGGTTTGATGTTGATCAGCATGTTGTTGCTGATGATGATGCTGATGATGATGGTGGTGTGCATGATGATAGTGATGATGCTGATGCTGATAGTGATGGTGATGATGATGATGATGTTGATGCTGATGATGCTGATGACGTCGACGATGCTGGTGATTATGATGATGAGGACGGTGGCACTGACGCTTAGGCTGACGATGATGATGACGATGACGATGATGATGATGACGATGATGACGATGATGATGATGATGATGATGATGATGATGATGATGATGATGGTGGTTGCGGTGATGATGATGACGATGCTGATGGTGTTGATGATGATTGAGCTGTTGATGATGATGCTAGTGATGATTACAGTCGGGGCGCTGAAGAAGGAACCCTTTGCGTTGGGGAGGGGCTCTGTGTTCCTTAATTGTTTCGCAGTTTGCCTTGGGTTTTCCTTTTGGTTTTCTGTGGGAAATCGAAGCTTAACTTATGGAGGACTAGGGGGCTCGTTCCTTATTTGGGGTTCCTTAAGTCAACGCCCCGACTGTATAATGACGATGCTGATGATGATGATGATGATGATGATGATGATGATCATGATGATGATGATGATGATGATCATGACCATGATCATGATCATGATCATGATCATGATCATGATGATGATGGTGATGCTGATGATGATGATGATGATGATGATGATGTTGATGGTCACGATGATGACGATGATGACGATGATGACGATGATGACCATGTCGATGACATTTTTGCTGCAGATCGTGATGATGATGGTGGTGTTGAAGATGAAGATGATGATGCTGAGGATGAGGAGGAGGATGAGGAGGAGGATGAGGAGGAGGAGGAGGAGGAGGAGGATGCTGATTGTGATGGTGATGGCAATGGGGGATAAGAGCGGAGGAAGTAGCGAGGAACGAGGGAGGGAGGGGAGAGGGAGGGGGAGAGCAGGCGATAGCTGATGATGAGGAGAGGAGGAGGAGAAGGAGGAGGAGGAGGAGGTGGATGAGGAGGAGGAGAGAAGAGCCCCCACCCCCTCCCATTCCCACACCCCCATCCCTCTCCATCTCTCCCTTCTCGTCGTCGTGTCCGCCGCGGCCGTCGCTGCCGTCGTCGCCATGGCAGACGTCCGCGTCGCCGTCGGCGCCGCCGCCGTCAGTCGCTGCCCGTCGCCGGCGACGACGACGCCAGACGGCGCCGACGCCAGGCGGCGACGGCGACGGCGACGCCTCGCAGGAGAGGCGCGCCGCGGACTCGCGGCCCGCGCCCCCTCGCCCTCCGCCGCGGGCGGCTCCGAGCGCGCCCCGGCGCGCCGCGCCGCCGCCGCCGCCGCCGCGGCTCTCGGCGGCCTTTGGCGGCCTTCGGATGCCCTTCGGCGGCCCTGGGCAGCGGCGCCCTCGGAAGCCTTCGGCGGCCCTCGGTGGCCGTGGGCTGCAGCGCGGAGGCCGCCGCCGCCGTCGCCGTGGCCTTCGCCTCCGCCGCTGCTGCCGCGGCCGACGCCGTCGCCGTCGTTCGGACGTTGCTGCAGGTGGCCCTGGCCCGAGGTGTCCCCGGCTTTTCGCGCCATCCTCGAGCCCCTGGGGCCCTCTTGGCCTCGTGAGCGGTGCTCTGGAGGCCATCTGGGCCTCCCTGGAAATCCTGGGGACCCCGTGGACCCCGTGGACCAGGGGCACCTCTGGCAACGCCCGAGTCGTCGACTCCACAGCCGTCGTTGCTGCCGCCGCCGTCGTAGTCGCCGCCGTCGATGGTCGCCGTAACGAGAAGGGAGGGAGTTTGACATTATTCTTCGCTGTTCCGGATCCTCTAGGGGCGCCCCATCACCACGGGCAGATTCGTCTCAAAGTCTTGGTTGGACCGCGCTCCAGGAGAGGTCGGGGGGGGGGCTTCTGCCTTGCCAGTGGAGACTGCTCCCGTGGGTGGGCCCACAAAAGCACCATTGCGTTGGAGGGTGGCCCACCAAAGCAGGGAAGTGTGATGGCGCAAGTCGCGTGGCGAACAGCAGTCTTCTTGATGCTGGACAGCATCTGCGGTTGGGCGTCGTCCGTACATTCGGCGGTGCGCCGAGGGGGGGAAGTGGGAGGGAGCAGGCCTTCTGAGAAGGCTTCGTGACTTCTCAGCGGGCGGGGCTTCGGAGAAGGCTTAGAAAGCTTCTCGGGAGCTCAGGGCCAGAGGCCTCTTGAGCCTGCTGAGAAGGCCCGCCCCCTCTGCCTTCCCCCTGGGCGCGCTGCCGGCATGTATGCCGCCCCCTTCCCGGGCGTAGCCATCGCCGTCCTCGTGCTCCTCCCCCACATTTCGCACAAAGGATCACGACGGCGCGGTGGAACCAGGCAGCGCCGTCGGGCTGTGACATCTGCGCGCCGGCGGTATATTTGACTGCGCGTTTGGGCGTGCGTGCAGCCGTGTCCGCAGGCCTCGGGCGTGCTGGCGCGGCACGCGCGCCGTGGGGCGTGCGCGCCGCGGGCGCCGTCACCGTTAGCCCCGCCGACTCGGGCGCTCGTCTCTCAAGAGGGGCGCGTCGCGCAGTGAACATTTCTGCTTGCATGGACTCGCGAGGAGGGGTCTTGCGACGGGAGGGCGCGTTGCTGCGTCATTGGTGCATCTTGGGTTTGCACCTGGTCTCTTTCTTTCTCCGTGTCCTCGTCCTCATTACTATCCTCCTCTTCCTCGTCCTCCTCACCCTCATGCTCCGTCCGTTTTATATCAAGACATGCTATTTTGAGAACGCAAGCGCACCCCAGCATCTCCGTACTGTAGTCTCTGCCCAGCATGTCTGGTGATGTCGCTTGGATGCCGAAGTCTTTGAGACATCTGTCCTACAGTACGAAATGCTTGGACAAACAAATGTGGGGGAACATAACAGAGAACTGTCTCGTCTCAGAAATCGAATGAGGGTTTCTTTTCGTCGACCGCATGTGGATTTGGACTTGCGTGTTTTCATTGGGGCGGGCAACAGTTCTTTGAATCCAGATGCAATGGAGTTCATCCCCATGCCCCGCAGCGTTGGTTTGGTAAGTTCAGTCGAGATGTGCATCGAGTTCGGGTGGTCAGGCTTCCGAAATAGATTCGCACCCACGTCCTGGGCACTAATTCTGTAAGCATCATCGGGCCAACTTCAATCACAATTATATGCACAGACCGGCGTGTTTTTTTGTTCGAAGTGGAGATGTATCCCAAGCAACATCGGACAACCTTTTGACACGGAAAGTGCATGTATTCATATCTCGTGCGTTACATGAGAGTTGTTGTTTTCGGTGGTTATTTTGCTTCACGTTCGTCTTGCTAGCCCCCGAGAAGGAGGTTACGAACATGACGCGCCGATGGGTAACGTCGATCGTTTTCGTGATGCGGGTCCGCCGCCCGACCACCTGGACGGGCTCATCTGTGCAACGTCCAATCGTGAGTTTGAGGAAGTCTTTGATCTGATGAATGCCAGTACCCACTTGCGGGCCGATTGGAAGATGATTGCTGCAATGATACAGCAACAGGTCGATCGAGACTGGGAGGAAGTGCCTCGCTAACAAAAGCCAGCCGCTGCCTGGAAGAAAGGTATGTGGAGCACTTTTTTCCGTTCGATAGACCAAGGAGACCGAGAACGTCTTCGTATTCTGCAGCAGGTCTGAGCCAATCTGATATAGCAGCCAGCGGTTCCGCATGGCCTTCTGCCTGGAGGATATGGTTGGTGATGTTTGTGGTTCCCATACGCTCACATGTTACTTCGTAACCTTGTTCTGCATGCCTGGATGCGCCGCATCAGAGGTCTGGGCGTTGTGATAGTTCAATGTTTTCGGACGTTCCCCCACGTGGCAGGGATAGGCATTTTGTGAGTCATGCGACCACGCAGGGCGGCAGCCTCGTAATTCAGGCCATCGAACTGTGATCTTTCGTCTGGCTATCCACTCTGGCTCGTCCCCTTCCCCGCCCCCTGGCCCTCCTCTTGTCTCGCGCCCGTTTCCCCCTCGTTTTTTTGTATTCGGCTCCCCGCCATCCAAGTCCCAGCAGCGCCCCTGCTGTCCAGAGTTTTTATCGCAGGCCTGCTTTAGCATCGGTCGTCTGTAGAGTCATCGAGCATTGCCCTGCAGGGTTGCTTCCCCAACTCTCCGAGATGCAGTGCCCAACCAACCAACCGTCCTCATCCTCATTTTCGTCCTCATCCCCTCCTCCCCCTGCCGGGGCCTGAAAACGGCCCCCGCGTGCCGCAGCCGACTGGATAGTATCTTCGCTCCCCCTTCCCGGTCCTCGCCCTCCTCCTCCTCGCCCTCCTCCTCCTTCTCCGCCCCCTCCTCCAAGCGACGAACGCGTCTGTCCGCGTGCGCGACACTTTGATCGGGAGCGGGCGCAACCCCCCAACCCCGGAACCAGCGCACCGCTCAGTGGCGACTGGTCCTGGAGCCGACGGGGGTGCGCCCACCAGGGTCTATGTATTCCGATGCACGGGACCGCCGCGGAGAACGCGACGATGTTGTGGAGCGCCGCCCGCACGGCCGCCTGGCCTGCGGCCTGGGCCCTGCGGTCCCACCGCCAGGTGCCTTCCAGTCTCCAGCGCGCCGCCTCGGCGCAGACGCCGTCCGCGGCCCCACCTGGCACGCGCCCAGCCCCGCGGCGTTCGCGTGCCCGGCAGTGCCGCGCCGCCCGCGCCGCCAGTCTCGCCGCCCGCGGCCGCAGCGCGGCGCCAGTCTGCGCCTTCGCCAACCCAGCGCCCAGGGCCCGCCCTCGTCGGCGCAGCCGGTCCGCGCCCTGCTCTGCCGCCAGCGTCGCGCGTGCCTACTTCGCAGAGGCAGCGGCGGCGCCCCGCGCCCTCCCTGCCCCGGCGGCCCGGCGCGGCGCCTGCCCGCGACCTGCCCCAGTGGCTGGGGACTGGCGGCTGCGCGCGCGCGGCCTCAGCCTGGGGCTGCGCCCAGATGCGGCCCTCCGGCCCCTCCGGGCGGCGGCGCGGCGGCCCAGTGCTGCGCCGGCGCGAGCGCGGCGGCGGCTCGCCACGGCCTCGCCTGCGTTGCCGAGAGGTCCGCGTCCGCGGCGTGCCGCTGCAGTACGCTCTCCAGGCTTTGGTAAAACTGCAGGATGGCAGCGGAACGCGCCACGCTCCCCGCGGGCGCGAGCTGCCGCGCGAGGGCGGTCGTTTCCTCGCCGAATCTCCCGCAGTCTTCATAGACGAACGGGATCACCAGCGCGCCCGCGTAGCGAGCTCGTTTCTGGCGCTTTGCGGTGGCGGCAGCCGCTCCGTTCCGCTTCGCGGCCCCGTTCGCCAGGGCGTCTTGTGAGGTTGCGCCCGCGACCGCGAGGTCGATCAGGAGCGGCGCCGCGACGCCTGGCGCGTGGACTACCAGATCCATTCGCGCCTCAGGGCTCTGCGGCGAGGCGCGGGGCTGCAAGGACTCGCGGTGCACAGTGCACGCAGCCTTGTTCTTCGCACCATTCCGCAGCCACCCGCCGACCAGGCAGCTCCGAGCGCGGCGGCCCTTCGGGCCCAGCGTCGCGCCGCAGACGCTGCCGCCCGGGCGCCGGTGTTGGCAGAGCCCACTGCTGAACGGCAGGTCGAGGTTCAGGCGGACCCCCGTCGCGATGCCAAACTGCGCTGCGGTGAGGCAGTGGCAAGATTGCGCGGGCGCCTTCAGCCAGCCGCTCGCCCCAGCGCCGCCAGCCGAACGCAATCGCAAGGCCGCAGCCACCTCGCCCGCCGCCAAGCCGGCGACCAGGCGGGCAGACGCAGCAAGTGGGGCCGAAGCAAGGGAGTGCTGCGTTGCTGCCAGGGCGCCCACCTGGGCGGCCGCGTCCTCCAGCGCCGACCACAGCGCGGCGGTGGCTGCCGGGAGGCAGCGGCGCGCCCAGGGGCTCAGGGCGGTCAGGGCGCTCGCGCCCGCGAGGCCCAACCGGCGCAGGCAGTGCGGCAAACAGGGGTGCCACGAGGCGGCGTGCGCCGCCGGCGCCGTCAATTCTGCGCTCTGTAATTAGCAGAGCCTCCGTCTCGTCCGCTCAGGAAGAGCTGTTTGTGGGCGCACCCGCCCAGCTGCTGCCCGCGGGGCAGGGCGTGCTGCGACTCGTCCTCCTCCTCGTCCTCCTCCTCCTCCTCGACCCCCTCCTCCTCATCCTTCTCTTCCTCCTCCCCCTCCTCCTTTTTGCGTTGGCCAGAACTATGCGTGCACATGTGCCTTTCTCGTTGCAGTGGAAGATAATCACTCGGGTCAACAAGAGGCACCTGGCGGGCGCCGCGGGAAATTGAAGAGCGCGTGCGTAGGACGAGAATTTCAACGAGAGCAGGCGCCCGCCTGCTGGGACGATACTCGCCGCAGCGGAAAACAATAATAAACGA